CGTAACCAGCGTAATCGGCGTAACCAGCGTAACCAGCGTAACCAGCGCAACCAGCGTAATCAGCGTAATCAGCGTAACCAGCGTAATCAGCGTAACCAGCGTAACCAGCGTAACCGGCGTAATCAGCGTAAGCAGCGTAACCAGCGTAATCAGTGCAGCTAGCTACCGCCAGCGTACCAGCGTACCAGCGTGCAATCACTCGCGGACACGCTTTGCCACGTCGCTCTGATTGCAAGTGCCGTTGGGCCTGCCTTTTTTTGGACTTCTGGAGGCTGTTTCAATGTAGTAGTGCCTCATGAATGTGTTGCTTCTCTGTAGGGTGGAGCTTGGGGGGTTCCTTTCTTCGATTGTTTGCACGCAATCGCGGACATGTGATGTTCGCGCGGGTTGTTGTTGACACTTATTCCTTTAGGCTTCATTGCCCTATCACAAAATCAGCGCTTCATGGCCAGGAGCAACTATGGCATGGTACGGATTCCTGGTTCCTTTGTCACCTGGCCAGTTGGGAAGGTGGTGATGCGGAAGCTCTCTTGGAGCATCATGCTAGGGAAGAATTGGCAACAGACCCCCCAGGAAACTGATCATTCTGGCTTGGAAACCATCAAGACCATGGTAAGGACTTAAGGACCTAGTTGCATGACCCTCTCTGAAAAAGGTAACCTGACCTTACTTTCAGCTACAGGTCAATCACTCAACCAACATTGTTGTGTTGCAGTTGAAGCATCAGTTGTATGCAGTTTTTGTGTTCAAGCTGCAACCGATATAAATATACAGTATAATACATACAGTATATATATATATATTTGGAATTTTGTCAACAAAACTAGAAGATCACGACTAGCAAAAACATGAATATGTTTGTCAATGGTGGATTTTATACATTTTTCATTTTTACAGATTTTGCATCTCTCATTTCAACCATGAAGAACTAATGATGTTGAGATGGGGCACCCAAGGCCGCTTTTAACAATCGTCCCAACCTCAAAGCACTCTCCCTGGCCGATGTTGCAGCTTCGCAGAACAATGCACATATGCAGATGTGTTTGGAAGGTGTCAAGCTTGCGTATGCCTTTAGACTTTTTCAACCGCGACTTCGTGTGGCACTTCATACTGGGTGAGCCGCACAAGTTGAAATGGTCCCGCACAACTCTAGTAGAAGTACATAGTAGGTATTATCATATTCTTGAAGTATCACAGGATAGTAATTGATTCCTTATTATATATTTTATTCCTGCTTTTTGGTCCACCTCTTGTTCTGAATTGAGGGTGCTCAGCCGTAAGGCTGGAGCTGTCCTGTGTGCAACAAGCGCGTTCGACCGGAAGAGCTTCTGGTGGATGGTGGCTTGAATCAAGTGAAGCTGGTTGAAACTGGGTCTTTTGGTAGAAGTGGTGCAATTGAGACTTGTATTTAGTGACTGACTGAGGATTTTTTAAATCAATCTTTGGCCTTTCCAACCCTGTTGTGATTCGTTGAACCTTCCTTACCTGTCATGTCTCTCAAAAGCCTTGTCATATTCATCAACCTAGTCAATCCAGTCTCATGCTGCCTGAGAGATCTCAGAAAAAATAGCAGCCTGGGATGACACCCAAACCTGCAATTTGGTTAGCAATGAGCTAGGCATTTGGAGCAGTTTGAATCTCAAGGAACCGTCTTGTAGTGCGTGAACAATCAATGTGCTATCCAGTCTTTCTCGTGCAATGGATGCCTGATTCACGTATTGTTAAAAGAGTAACCTGTGGTTGAGTTCTGCCAGCATTTGTTGCTCAGGCTTTGTCGAAGAGATCCTTAAACAGACCAAGGAGCGGTTTGGTCCAGATGCAATCAAAGCTAGTTGTGCCAGACATCGCCACATGCAGCATGCAGATCCGAACGTTTGAGACCCCTTCCAACAGCTTGTGGAACCCGCTTGAGTGAACGGCTTGATTATCAACATCCCAAGTCAAATCTTTCTAGAAGAGACGCGTTGGCTTTGTTGGGTTGAAACTCCAAGACCCAAGGTCAGAAAGCTTTGCCTGCTCAGCAAGAATGCTACTGCTGATGCAAATGACCTCAATTCTTACCCCTGGCTGCTACTGACAAGAATAAGAGTTTTTCTCGCTTGTTCTTTGAATGCACTAGGGAATCTGCCAGCGACAGGAGGACTGTGAAGAGGTCCTCCTCTCACCGGATGGCTCGTGGCAGCCAGTGATGGAAGAAAAAAGCTTGCCAAACTGGGCCGAGGGATGAGGGCGAGGGCCAAGCGGCGAGGGTGGGGTGCAAGGCAGTGCGAGGTGTGTGAGAATTGCGTCCGTATGTTGCAATTCATACAGCGATGGTCTTCCATTCGCCTCTGTTAAGGGGAACCACTCCATTGAAACAAGCTTCGCCGAGTTTCGCACATTGGTCTTATGGACATTCTTGACAGGAAGGAGGCTTGGTGCTATGATGGAGCGCCTGCTCCCCAGCAACAGGGGTGGTCACTGACCCTGTCTGCGTGGCGTCTCCCTTGGATCAAAGTCTCTTTATTTGTGAGCTCTTGATCATGTCAAAAGGCTCAGGCCTCCACCCACGGAGTTCCCTTGAACTTGTTTTGCCATTTCCTTTGTCACTCTTTCATTTGGTCTCATTGGTTTTCAATTGCCAATGATGGATTCCATTGTGTTCTTACCAATGTGCGCAATTTGCTGCCTTCACCTAGGCCAGGGGGTTACTATCATGCTGGGACTGAGATTTGGTTCCCGCCACCAGCTGAGTGGCATAGCGAGGGATGATACTTCTACAAGATTTGAACTTAAATGGAACTGTGGATCCATCACGCAGCGGATCAAGAAACTCAATGTCCATGGAGGATTCCTTGCCCTCATACAGAAGGATGCAAGAGTTCTTTTTGGTCGCTGGCGGTCGCGCCGGGGCAGCATGCGGCATTCATAGCACAGAGTCTGTATCAGGGAATCAATTATTCCGACGGGTTGGCATGCACGCCTGAATGAACATGAATGAACAGGGAAGGTGTGATTATTTTTGATCTATGAGGAACGAGAGGTAAGATGAGAAGACGCACCAGAGTAAAGCTGGCGAAGTAGCACACAACTGACCTACCTCAAAGCCAGCCAACTTGCCCCCATTGGGCCCCCATGCTTCAGACATGTTGATAGTATTGCTTTGGGGATCTTTTGGGTGGTGTGGTACTTTCTATTGAGAGAAGCTTGTTGGCATGAGACATTTGCTCACTTGCTTTGGATTGGAGTTTTTTGTCGCTGCTTTTTCATTGTGTTCATCACAGTTACACCAGCTTGCTCTGCTGGAGCGTGACTCACAGCACCGGCTCTCCAAGACGTGGGGACTACAAGAACAACGTCATGTGCAACTTCCGCGCATGTGCTCGGGGCCTCGATCTGAAAGGCGGAAAGGATCAAGTCGGTCTAACATTAGGAAAATTAGGACAATGCCGACATAGACCAGGGTTGGTGCCTCTTGGGGTATTTCTTGAGCTGGGAAGCACCACAGCAGCATCGCTTGTGTGAACCTCAAGGCCCACCACTGACTGTTTGTGTTCTCGGCAGACCACCTTTCAATTGGCAATGTGCTGGTCTTCTTGACACTGGTACCAGTTGAACTACATTGGACTCCATCTGTGGTCCACCATTCGAATCAGCCTTTGTTCGCTTTGACTTGCCTGGCTCACCGCCGATCCCCTTAGCAGAACACGCATGTAGCCGCTCAATTTCAGTTGCTTGTAGGTATATGAATACTCCTCTTTGTTCTAGAGTCTTGATCCTTTTTTGGTCAGATTAGATTCCTGTGTTTGCACGGAGTCTCAGATTGCCTCATGAAAGCAGGAACTGACAGTGCATGTATGCTGCTCTTTTCTATGCGGGTTTCAGGTGACTCAAAAGGTGATCCGTTGGCACTTGAGTCAGTGAGACTCTGCTTTTGTCGCCAAGGTTGGAGCGCCTCATTCAGAGGATGCGAGCTGTTCCGATCACTTGAGCTTCCCGTCAGGACCTCGTTCTCCAAGAGACCGACGGCAAACGTTCTTCGACGCAAGCCTTTTCAGTCCAAGAAACCATGGTTTTTGAGCTTCCTGACGCGACACGTTGTAGAGGGAGACTGCATGGAGAAGCTCAAACATGGGAATATTGAAGATTTGTCAATTTGTCGGGTGCTCCTTTCTATGAACGACCACAATGGGTGACCCTCAAACATTACAATGTATCTTGTTTTTTGTCCTTTTTTCCATTGTCCTTTTTGAGTCCACGCTCCAGCATTTTGCTACCTTGCTCCCAGGGAGGCGGCTGCTGCAGTGCTCTCAGAGTTTTAAACGAGAAAGACTTATGGATGACCCAGCACCCAAGCTTTCCGAATACATGCAATGTCCTTCAGTGAGACCAGAAAGAGGGCAACAGAACATATACATTTGTGAGATTCAGGTGCTGGATCACCACCGCTACTGGGATGTGCGGGGCCCCTGCAACTAATGCGGCCCTACTCGGAGATAAGCGGCGCAGCCTTGCATAGATACTGAAGTCTAGCTTGATGTGTGCCCAAACCAGGTTCGAACCAACCTATCAGACATCATTGACAACCTTGTGATATGCAAAGCTACTATCTTTATTTCGGCTCCTTCCAACCATCTGTGTTCACACTTGCTAGCCTCTAGGTCCTGAAGAAAGGATTTTGCGGAGGAGATGTGCTTGTTGCAGCTTGGCACAATCTTTTTGCGATGCGAAGGGCATTGCGCAGCCCTGAACCTGTGCAATGGAGCAGGCATTCTATTTTTGTAGAATGTCATTAACACATGTTCAAATAAAGATTGCCTTGTAAGGGTGGACTGTTGAACAGGTGATGGAAGAGGTCTAATCCAAGTTCAAAGACTGGAAAATGCACGCGCTCACAGCATCACAAACAGACAAACAAACAAGCATAGAGGTCCTAGTGGCCTGAGACAAGATGTCATGCACAGGAGCCACGGTCTCCTGGGTCTCCAGCGAGCTACAACTCGCTGATGGAATGACCAAACAAAGTGCGCCTACGGCCAGAGCCAAACTTCACAGCCTCGAAGAAAAAGACCTTGGAGAACAGAAGACAGAGCCAGATGCGTTACGCACCGACCAAACCGTTGGGTCACCTGGCAATGTTAGCAGCCACAACAACTGCGCACTCCACTGAAGCTCGACAACACGCTTGACAACCAGAACTTCATGTTCCTGACATGTTTCACGATCATGGTCGCCCTCATTGCAAATTGCCTAGGGGGGTATATTCTAGCGAGATATTTATTGTTTTTTTAGTGGGATATGTTTTTTACCTTTTTAAAATGCTTGGCTGGCGGGAGGAAGGAAGGAAGGCAGGAAGAAAGGAAGGCAGTTGCAAAACTTTGCCCAGATACCATTGCAGTTATCAAAGGACAATTCATTGGGGAAACTCCGTGACATCTGTTCTTTGGTCGTGCCAAGTTACACTACCACAAACCAACGGAAATTCGAAAGGAAACTTAAAGGACATTTGAAGGGACATTTTAAGAAGGAACTTTAATGACAACTTCAAACTTAAAAAAACCAACGGGCAGTAACAGTAACATTAGAACGCAATTTCACAAAAACAAGTTCGAATGAATAAGCAATAAATTTAGAAGGGACATGAATTGGACATCCTAAAGAACGATCTAAATAAAGGACACCTAAATGGAAATTGACAAGGACATTTCAAAGGAAATCTGAAAAGGACATTTCCATTGAAAAGAGACATTATGAGTACATTTAGCAAAAATACATGGACATGTAAAGGACATGTGAAATTAACACGTATTTACAACTAATTGAACATCAAGTAGAACTGACCATTTAAACATTCATTAAAAGTACAGAAGACTAAAGCCAAAAACATATCCAACTAACACAATAAATCAAATCTAGTTGAAAATCAATTAGAATTGACTAAAAGCACATGAAACGTACAAAATACTAAAACCCTCCAAAAATCCAACTAAAGCAATTAACTAAAACTATTTGAACATCCAAATTGGAAACTCTTTACCACTGCAGAAGACTGAAGCCAAAGAAACATATCCCACGAAAAAACAAACATACCCCGCTAACAATCCGCAACCGATTGCCTATGGCACCTCTGCACCACCACGTGGTCATGGAACCGAGACCAGCAAAGCAGGCCATCACCAGGCCACCAGCAGTTGAACAGGACAGAACAATCAACGCAGACTGAGTAGAGCAACTTAGACACCCTCGCCTCTCTACGCAAAAGAGAGCAACAACTGGAGCTGGAAGTGACCATACTCCGAAGCAAGCTCAGCAAAGCCGAGCACCGCTTGACCGACATCCAGCGTCGGTTTGACCAGCAGCTGCAGAGCCATCGCGATCTACACGATGGCCGGTTTGAGACGAGGATTCGCTACCAGGAGAAAGTCAAGGTGAGAGCTCGCAACCGCTTTGCACTCGCCCCGATCCACACGGATCAAGTTGGCCTCTCACCTGTGCGCCAGTCAACGCACTGCGAATGTGGTTTTCCCCACGACCTCGGACAAGGCCCAGCAGAGCACTGGGCATCGAGCAGGAAGCTCATGCAGGACCAAGTCCCTCTTCCACCGGTGTGAATGTGGTGCCACATGAGTTGCATGAGCATGGTCCGGCATGAGCATGTTGACATGGCCACCTCCGATGCTTTCTTGGCACGAAACTCGTGCCCCACTTCCCTTTTTGACTGTCCTTCCAGATGGGAGGGAGCGCGCGCCATGAGCCAGGCGACCTGAGGGGGAAGGCCGCGCTGATCATTGACATTGTGGACCGTGTACTTCGAGTGACACTGTTTAGGTTGTGCTACCCTCAAACATTCCCTATCCAGCAGGGCAAGGAGGCAGGCCAAGCTATGGAGGAGCTGAGCTCCAGAAATTATTGAAAAACCATCTCTCATGGGTCAACCCGCATCCAAGCTGCAATCGCAAGTCACATGTGGAGTCCAGGACATTCCTGGTGGAGCTGCTCAGGCATTCGAATCCCAAAACCACGCCCACTCCCAAGACACAGAGGCCTCACCAACGCAGTCTCCTCACTTGCCAAGTGTTGCCACAGGGAGCCCCTAGTAGCGTCCTTGCTCCTAGTAGCGATGCCCTTTGCTCCTACTCGTGGCATCGCTAGTAGCGTCCTTGCTCCTAGTAGCGAGCGGAGCGGAGGATTCCTGACGAAGCAGTGGCGCAATCGGCCTACACGCGCGAAAAAGATCCTGCAGAGGGGTTTGCCTCAACTCTTGAAGTGGGAACACGAGGCTGTGGGCTTGTCGCCAAGGGTAAGTTTTGAACTATAGTTAACTAGTTTTATGTTTTGTTGATCCGAACAAGTTGCTTTTGGCAGTAAAAAAGATCCGAAAAAGAATGCCCTCAACGTTTTTCGACATCGATGCGTGATTGTGCACAAATCCGACCGCAGCCACCATA